TCCTGCCCCAAAGTTGTGAGAATCTCGTAGACTCAAACGTGTTGGTCCCTGAGCAGTGGAGCTCAGGAACTCAAGTTTTGTGTCTCGTGTCTGAATTCCCCAACATCTGTAGGGGTAAGGCATCACAGTATCCCTTAATTCATTTTGGAAGAGCTTTGGGGGCAGTAGCCCTTCTTGGGGATGAAGACCTAGCTCACTGTAAAAGCCTCATAAAATGTGTAAGAACTTGACAGGACCAAAGCTTTTACTTCTCTAACAAGGATAACTAAATCTCACCAGTGGATTTAACAAACAATATTAGCACATCTGAAATGGGGTTTCATAAGTTACACTTCCTCAGAAAAGCAAAAAGAACTGTAGGAAAAAGCCTGAAACAAAAACTTGGGTCTCAGCACCATGATCTAAACTAAAATCTCAGTTCTGACACACACCTCTTTATTCCACAGAACAAACCCAAGACCAAAGCCCACTTCACTCAGAGAAACTTTAAACCAGACTTTGAGGTTTAACTCACACATTACTGAAATGAAACACATTTCTAAAATGAAATGCTTTTCTTTAAATAAAGCAATGAACACTTGACTTTTACAAGGCAGTATTGAGAAGATGCATCATTGCATCGCTCTTTCTAGCACGTCTTTAAACATCCTGGTTGAAGGACATGCTACAATTGCCACAGTGAGTCAACAAAACTGACTCAAGAAAATTTGTACAGGATTTTATCTGACCAACACAAAGCCAACAGAAAAAACCTCTGCATCATTGTGGTTGGTAGTGATTGATCCTGCCACATTACTACAAACAAAGCATTTGCTCAAAGCATTTGTTTGCTTTCCTTTTACCTGGGGGAATCTGGGATGGGTGAATGCCACAGAACTTAATGGAAACTTTTAATGCAGAAAGGTCACAGGAGCAGATTATATTTCTTGGGTGAACTGGTTTGCTTTTTCATTAGATCCACTTGTTTCTGTGGTTGGGTCAGGAGACCAAGTCTATGGAGTTAAAGTGAAGCTCAGTACTGTCTGAACTGTTTTGCAAGAAAAGACAGAAAACTTGACACCAGTGGACAGAGATTGAAAGGTTCTACCCCTAAGCAGTGGCTGGTTTCTGTTAATGTCCAGAAAGTCATTCCTCAGCCCAGTTATGCAATCACAATTACTTCATTTTTGATCTTCAGTAACAGCCACATTTCTTGAAAGCTGCCCAGAAAACCTGGCTGGGACTCAGGTAAAGAAAGGGAGACTGACTGGTGAGTGAGCCAAGGAGGCGAGGTCAAGTCTGAGCTCAGAGCAGTAAGGAGAACAGAAAAAGAAGGAAGGAGCATAAAAAAGAGGTGAATGGATGTTCCTTAGTGTTGCCAGAGAGAAGGAGTTAGTTTCCAGATGGATAAGGGGTCAGGTCACTTTGTCAGCAGACAGGGAAAAGGTGGGAGAAGGAGTGGGGACAGGATGGAGAGCTGAGGCCTCTTCCCACTGCCAGCATGGAGAGCAAGGGGATGAGAGGAGGTGAGGAGCAGTGATCCCTGCCCTTGGGAAGGTGCCCACAGAATGCCACCATCCCCAGCCAAGCCAGCTCTCTCTCAGAAGCTGGGCTTTCTATAGCACCAGGACACCTACAGTGTGAAATACTGGAAAGAAGTCTGCTGGGTTTGCCAGCTCCTTGTTTGGCCTGTTTTGGGAACCAGTCCTTGAGCATAGAGGAGTTGTGAGGAAATGACTGTCATGAAGCCCTGATGTCCTGAAAAATGGCTCTTCTGATGGTGTCCTGAGAGCCCAGGGTGTTCAGAGACTGGAAAACCAGCAAAATTCACAGCAGCCCCCTGGAATGGGGCCAGATCCAAAATGTGAAAGCTACTAGTGATAACTGAGAAAATAAAAAAATATTTTAGTTAAAAAGTGTGTTTTGAAGAACAGGCATGAGGGGAAGAAAATTCTGTAGTTGTAGGATCACTCTCATATTCATGAAGGTCTAAGGAAAGCACTGTGGATTAAATCTCTCTTCTTCCAAACCTTCAGGTTTCAGTTTAAATTTGGGCAGGAATACTTGGATTTCACTTTGAAAAATTAATCACACTGAGGACTGCAGACCTCAGAGCATGTCTCCACTTTCAGTAACTAATGGAACCAATAAATATAGATTTGTGGAATCATTAAGTTTGGAAAAGACCTGCAAGATTATCGAGTCCAATCTTTAAATTTCTTGTTTGTTGCTTCAAGCTGCTAGACAAACATAGATTATGCAGATTCTTATTGTGTCAACATAAGAGAAACTATTGTGTCAAAATAAGATAAACTCTTATTTCTAACAAGAGAAACTATTGAGTTGTTCTCACAGAGTTGAATTTTGAACTGCTGCTGGTGTCTTATTTCAGAACATTTTTCTCCCCTAGAAAATACCAATCCACAAAATATTATTGCACAGTGAAGAAATGTCTCCCTTAAAAAAAAAAAAAACAAAACACCAAACAAACAAGAAAAGCCAATGAACTAGACAATTTTGTTTTCTCATAGTTAAAAGCTAGACAGATGAGAGCAAGAACCTGCAGCTGTAGGTAGTAGAAAGGATACAGACCCCAAGTACAAGTCAAACTTAGTAATAATAACCCTTCACTATACACTGCTCCCTGCTCCCTTTTCCAGAGCATCAAACGGATCCCAGGAGGGAGCATCTTTGGGTTGTTACAAGCAAACAGCGAGGTCTGGTGATGAACAAATGGGCTCTGGGCAGGATGCAACTGGTGGCACAAATAAGATTTACATTAAGGGAACAACAGAGATTACATAGGCAGGTGTTGGAACCTGGCAACAGTGTAGGAACTCTGGAAAGCTGTCAGAATGGTGAGGAGAGGAGGAGAGAGGAAAAGAGTTTGGGCTGTTGGGGTAGAGGCCTCATTGCACTTGGCAGCTGCAAGGCACTCGAAACGGGCCAGGTTTGTGGCCATGTATATTCAGCAGTTTAGGAAAATCAAGTTGCTGTTCCTGCCGAGGGAGGGAGCAAATAAGGGAAATCAGCAACTCCACAAACTCATCTTGAAGCTGCTGTTGTGGAGCTGTATTAAACAGCCTGGGGATGGCACTGCAGGGTATCATCTCACCTCTGCCAACTCCTGGTCCACAGCAACTGCTTTTGAAGCAGCTAAAACTTCTCCCTATGCTCTGCATGCATTTTTTTTAAAGGTTACAGTAATATTTTGGTATTTTCTGTCATTCTGGATTAGATCTCCATGTTAAAATTACAATGTGAGCACAATTTGTTCAGGCCTGGGAACTTCCCAGTCTGGTAGGAATTCTGGAATCTGCTTTCCTTTTCTACATTTTATTTACTAAAACGTCTGCATGTCATGTTTAATACTGACCTCTGGGGTGAGATAGCTGTTTTCTCTGGTCATTCTACCTATTTGGAAAGCTCAGTGCACAATGAATACTGAAGACAGCTATACTTCTGAAATTAATCTTGGATAACCTTATCTAAATAACATCATTTGAAAAATGAACAGACTTTTGTGAGAGGAACTTTCCTACATAAAGGGATAATTTTTAACTCAGTGGCTAGTTGAAAAGGAAAATTTGAACATTTGTTTTATGTTATTGTGGAGAACCACCATGTGATTCCAAAACTAACATGCCAAACCAGCAGTTAAGCAAAAAAAACCCACCAAAGAATGAGACAGCAAGCATTTAAAAACCTTTTACATGTGAAAGGAATTTAAAATGAGAAATATAGCTTATCCAAGTACGTAATTCTGGTCTTTATATTTCACGGCTGCTTGCTTAGAAATTTTCAGGCTTGTGGAGCCAGATGCAATTAAAAAAATTACAAACTGTATTTTTCTGTTGCTGAGAAAGTAGTTTCTAGAGAACCATGACCAGCATATTGAACTGTATCACCACAAACTATATTAAAATTCATAACAACACATATTGGCTATTAATTATATCTTAACTTTGTTCCAGTGCACTCGACTGGCTTTTGGGAAGTTCTGCTCTATTCAATACAGGTAAGGTTTGCTTTCTGACCTAGAGGCAGTTCCTTAAGCTTCCAACTGCCAGGAATATGCTGTGCTCCCTGTGACACATAGAGAGGAGAGAAACAACTCTTCTAAATAACTTTCTAACAGCAGTGGGATGTCCTGGAGCACTAGAAAAGTTACAAGATTGCAGTTTTCACAAACAAAGACTAGTGATTGCTTCCTCATCTTGATGGAAACAAGGATATTTTCCCAGTTCCTGCAGTCATTTCACTTTGCAGTGATGCAGCACCTTCCCAGAGATCTGTGATTCCTGGGTGACAGCTGATGCCTCTGCTCCCTGGGAAGGGACTCCCCTCATCCACTCCTCTCATGCTACGAGGCTTCCCTCCCAGCAGAGAGAAGTGCAGCACTTGTTCGCTCCCTCAGGGCCCGACTCCAAGTCTCCAGGAGAAAGTGGGAACCTTTCCAGGGACTTCCACGCACTTTTGGTCAGGCCCTGGCCGATCCACGCCCAGCGTTCCCACCGCGCAGCGACAGCCCAGCTCCTCGTGTCCCTTCCCACCTGGCCCCTCTGGAAGCCCTTAACCCTCTCCTCCTTCCTGCCTTCTTCACGGCACATCGGGCCCGCGCTCCCGGGGTGCAGGCCCGGGACACGGCCCCGCAGAGGGGTTACGGAGCACGGAGCGCTCCGGGGAATACGCGGCTCCGTGCGGCGCTCCGGCCGGGAGCCCGCGGCCCCTGCCCTGGCTGCGGCCGGTCCCCTCGGGGCACTGAGGGGGGATTTTCACCGTCTCTCCTCTCATTCTTGCTTGGCAATGGTTGGAGGACTGTCACGGACTTATACACACATTACACCGCGACTCGTGACCACATTTGCCTGCTTGTGTTTTTCCCGAGACAGGTGCAAGGTGCTCCCCGTCACTCCCTGTCCTCCGCAGCCCAACTTCCCTGCTTTCCCTACTCCAGACGCCCTCGGCTCTCGTGCCAGACCTTGCCAAGTCTGCCGCTCCAGCCCCGCTCCTGCCCTTACCCCTCGGCTCACGGGTCTCTGAGGGAACCCAGCTGCGACCTACGCCTGGCAGGATCTCTGGATGAGGGATTTCAGTGGGCAAACAGCGCTGACTCTTCCATGTTGCAGAAGGACCACCTCGATTTCCTCGCACTGACGGTGCTTGACACCACCTTAGCGCAGCCCCGGGGCTTGACGACTCTAGTTCAGCGTGCCTTGAGTTTGAAGTGTGTAGGCTTGGCTTAAAGCTTTCACTGCGAAGTGAGGAAACACATTGAAGTTACTTCGAGAGACTTCAAGTTGTTCCCTGAAATCTTTTGTGATACAGAAAAGTGAACCAGTGAGAAGTTCAAACAAATTGTCATTACTACCTGCTAAACTACCATCCAATGTAATTTGGTGCTTCTTTTAAGGTATCAGGGACTCAAGGGAATAAATCAGGACAGCTCCCAGTTCCTGTAAGAGCTGTCCTCAGGAAACAGAGCTTAGAACCAACAGTGGAAATGGGGCACGAAAGAATCTTTTTCCCTGGGGCTGTGGATAAACATGAATATCCAGCTGTTTACATCCTGCCATGCATGATCACACTGATCTTTCTCCTGAAAAAAAGCCCACGAGTGAGTCGGTGAAAGATGATGGAACCAAATTAATTGTGTTAAATCTGTTCCGCTCCTCCTGTTCCAACTGAAGTTGGAACACATCCAGATTTGAATTTCCAAAGTTTGGCACCTCTTTTCAGAGGTTACACTGAACTTTGACCAACTTGGTCTTCACGTTTGAATCTGAATCCACTTTTCTTCCTCTTCACACACAGAAAAACAACTGGGTAACACATATATTAGCCTATGCTTCCTTAGTCTTGGGCAGATTAAGAGCAAAACAGGTTTCACATGAACCTGTCCGAGGTCAGGGACATTCCATCAAGTGTTACTGAACTCAGATAAATGGGATCAAAGGTGCCGAAATAACAGTATAAAATCACTCTGAAACATCTGCAACTGCAAACACAGATGGGGAGAGAGAACAGTAGCTCTGCAGGTGAAGCCCTTGCTTCTGGCTGTTTCAGATAAGGACAGTGTTTGCCTCTGAACTCAGCCAGTTACCCTCTGCCTTCCAACTGGGGAACTGGAAGGAGACTTGTGGGAGTCTCCCCCTATTCCCCTCCTTTTTCCCCTTGATCTTGCCTTACCTGATCATTCAGTCTGACACTTCCTGCAATTGCTCTCAGGTCAGTCCCACCAAAGGCAGAAATGAATGCTGGGGATCAAGCAGCACAGATTTTTACAAAGAAGCATTCAGAGGCCATACTTGGATCCTCTGGAAACATGTTCAGATAATTAAAGTGAACTTACCTGTCTATCCCAACCTCCTAGCTGCTGTAACCTCGTATCTGCCATAACTTCAGGTGAGTGCAGTCAGACCATCTGTGGCTTCAGGATGCCAAACCTCCACTCCCTATGCAGCCAACGGAGAGATATCTCATATTCAGGCCACCTGCTACAGCTCTAACAGGAAGTGTTTCACCTCCTTCTGTCACATCTGCTCATTAATCCCTGGAACAGATGTCAATAATGACCACTCAGCCTGTTGTGAGTGACTGAGCAGACACTAGATGTGTGACAAGTAGACAATCAGTGCATAAAAATATATAAAGCAGCAGAAGTAACTGGGAAGTATCCCATACTTGTGCTTGAAAGGCTTTGAATCAGAAGGTCTACCAAGGCTGTTGCCTGATGAGCACTTGTGAATCTTCTCTTCCCAGTGAGGTAACATAGCTTTTTCTAGCCTGGTGGTGCTGTAAGCAAAAGACCATCCCAAAGAGCAGGAATGAGCCTGGTATGCTTTTGGCACTCTGCAGGTATAACCCAAAGCAAAGGCAGTTTCCAAGTGAAATGACTGAACTGGGAGAGGTTCAAAACGTAGGTAACCTCCAGGGAGGTGAAGCAGTGAGGGTTCAATGACGGCACAAGAGGCAGCTGGGTCCTCTTGCTTGCAGACATCTGCCTTCAAGGGAAGCCTTCCTGTGAACGAGGAAAACTTATGGACACTGTGGCTAACAGGACTGAATGGCATTTATGTTTGTGTACATAGATAGATAGATAGATAGATAGATAGATAGGTAGATAGGTAGGTTTTGGTTTTTTTCTTTTCCCTCTGAATGGAGGCTACTTTGCTATTTAAAATGAACCTAAAAGCAAGCAACTTAAAATACAAAAAGTAGTCTTCCAAATCTCTGCTTTTCCCTGTGATGGGTAGTGCTTAAATAGTAAACTTGGAGACAGTAGTGTAAAACACAAAGGCAGGAAGGGAGAAAGTGTTTATCATGATGTGCAGAATGCAGCTCCTAGAAGCTGGCAATCCTCAGTTGCTGGAAGACAATATAACTAATCCAGACATGTTCAGCATGTAGAATTACAGAATCTCAGCCTTGTCCTTTCCTCACAAGCAACAGGAATTAGATTCCATTTTTTCCCCCAAAGAAAAAAATCACACAAAAGTGCAGAAGTTAGAATTCAGGAGAGATATCACATCTGCTTCAGACAGTTTCTCTCTTTTGGACTTACAGAGAAAAGAAATCATTTCACAGTGCCAGAAATGCAGGATTTCTGTTGTTACATGGAAGCTTGGCAAAAGCAAAGCAAAAATCTGATCACTTAACTTCTTTTTCTCCATATTATTAATTTTTCCCTGAGCTTCATTCAAACTGCCAATTCAAAATTCATATAATGACTTAGTGTATGGAAATTCCAATAAAATTAGTATGTCAGTTAAGAAGAAAACAATGTGAAATAAAAGAAAGTGAATGTGAAAAAAATAATGTGAAATAAAACAGACATTTGAGTTAGATGGCCTAAATTTTTCTATTAGTGAAAAAATCACTAGATCTACTGTACAATAACAAAAATTGTCAGAAAAATATCTCAGAAATACTTTTTCACACACACACACACACGTCTGTGTGTACACTTCTCACCACTATACCCCCTACTGCTTTTTCTTCCTGCTTTCTCCCCTATAATTTTTTTAAGAGCTGGTATTTGTAATTTTCATTTTATTCTCCCAGAATAAAGTTTCCAAAAAGTTCTCTAATGTTCTTTTTGGCTTTTGAGGATTAAAACAAAACCAAACTAAACCAAACAAAAAAAAAAATTAAGAACAAATCCCCAGGCTTTTCCCACATTTTAATAAGTTTTATATTCCTGCATTCTGACACAGACAGAATCTACAGGACAGTTCAAACAAGTGGGTTGCTATCCTGTCTGTTTCTATGGAAATGAGAGTCAGACCACTTAAAACAAAGCACATACTTTACAGTAATCACTGTATAGTGATTATTTAAAATAACAGAGTGCGTTTTTCCCAATCCAGCCTCTATTTCTATGGATACAAGCTGAAAATAGTTGTAGAGAAGCTTGTTCCACAGTTTTTTCTAATTCTAAATGTGTTTTGGATGCTGTAAATTCTTACAAAATACTATGGATAATAAGACCTAACCAGATCTTCAAGTGTACTGTAATTTGAACTTGAGAGGACCAATTCAGTCAGCCAGAGTTAGGAAACACTCTCATGTGTGTAAATAGAAATTTGAATGAATACTGAGTGCAGTACTCCACACATCAGGTTTAGAAGGAGAGAAAATATTTGCTGTTTTCTGCTGTTTTTTGACTCACTTCAGAGACAGCCACCACAGAGACCCTGACCTCTTCACAAGACAGATGTGACCCATGTGAAGTTTGTAAAGGCAATCTCCTCACGTTTCATTTGGAATGAAACTTCGCTCCATTTCCTCACCAGGCGCAGCAGAAAGTCCCCACTCCTCACCCTCCTGAACGCTGCCAGTCTTGCTGGCACTTCTCCTGTACACAGATTATTTTTTCTAGCAGTGCACCTGGCACTTGTATAGACATGAAGTAAGAGGCATGTCCCATCTTACAGAGCTTACTGCTGGAAACAAGAGAAAACATGACCTAAGGTGGAGGCAGAACAAATGCACCAAGGTAAAGGTCCTGGCTTTGTTGTTCTTGCCTTCTTAAAGCACCCAAATCATCCCTGGTCACTTCCTGACATGATACTTCAAAGACACACTGTGAAAGACTATGTGTCTTGCCTCTCAGTTTAGGAAGGACATTAGGACAGAGTCACTCAGTGGACCATGGTCTTGGAAATCAACTTCTTTGTGAAAGTGCTTTATTATGGTTTTATAAGCCTGCCTTTGATTGGTTGTTACTGTTCCCCTTTAACAAGTATTTAAGCTAATATTTTCCAAAATGACTAATGATTATGTACTTGAAATTCAAGACTGAAGCTTTTTAAAGCCACAGAATCAATGTGAAAACACTGAAAAAACTGTGGCTTTTCAAAGAGCCTTGAAAAAATCAGGCTTCAGGGTCTCTCAAGTTAGATATGTAAAGGCATGGAAAACTGGTAGTGTTGCAGAAAAGAGTAGCCCATATCAATATCTAATCAATGAGAGCTGATAGTTTTGAGATCCAGACCTCAGGCTAATTCGACCTGAGCACTGTGAAATTAAAAGCAAATAACAAAATTTGAAAATAATTATTGCAGTGTTTGTAAGTGCCTGCTTTTCCCGTCAGAACTACAAGGGCTCCCTGGTAAATTCTGTGACTCAGTGACTATGTCAAACTAACTCAGACTGGATGACGGATTATTCCACGTGTAGAAGGTGGGAAGGATTTCAGTACACAGAAGATACCCCGAGTATTGCAGTAGATACTCAGAGATGCTTCCAGCATGTGCCTCCTCTAGCTCTTCACAGCCTATGACCTCCCCACTCTTCTGTCCTTTTTCCTTCTTTGCTGATCTTTCCACCCATCTTCAGCACTTGGGCATGCAGCCCAGTTCCAGACTTGCACCATGCTCTGACACAAACCCCTGATGCTCATAGTGCCTTGTTGGCAGATCCTTCCATATCGACAGGCTCTAGTATTAGAGATTCCTTGTGGGAGGAAGATAAATTGCCGTTAGTCAGGCCTAAAATGCACTCCTTGCACTCCAGCTGAAATAACTATGGGATTGGAATAGGAGGGAGAAGAGGGGGAGAGGTGATTTTGTTTTACAGCATCTAGAGTAAAAAAACCTGTGGTTTTACTTCAGCCTTGCCAGCCCACTCATCTTCTGAGTCCATACACTGACCTTGCACGTCACCTGGACTCCTCAATGCCAAACTTCTGGAGTTCAAGTACTGCAATGACTGTGTCTCCAAGTGTATGACCTAGCACTGGGCTGATCAGAGCAAGGATCATGGGACACAGGGCACTGGGCACAGGGCATTGGGACATGTGATGACAAAGAAGTGATAGTGTTGGGAATATTCCCTTCTCAGGAGGCTGTGCTGAGGAGGTGGTCCTGATATCCCATCTCTTGGCAGCATCTACTCTCTCTCCTTCTGTGATCCCATTCCTCAGGGTGTCAAAGGCTGGAAAGCAGGAAGATTTGACAAAGAGCTCTGTACCACACTTGAAATTTTGGGAAAAACTGAAGGAAACTTTTCTGTGGAATAATTGTGTAAACTAAGAGCAAACATTGAGAACTAGAGTTTTAGAGATGGGATTTTGGATTAAATCCATTCCCTTTGAATGCTTTCTACGGTTAATTTATACATAAAATGAAAAAATTATTTTAAGAATGAATGCATTTCTTACTAGTGTAGGGTAGGGAATCTCAACTCACAGATGGCCCTGAAGTGAAACAACCACAGGGTTTACTTTAACTGGGGCTGCAGTACCCAAACACCAGTGGGTTTAAAGGACAGGTTTGGGATGGGATTAGCACGGGCTGTATAGCTGGACTCGTGCACAGGTCTGTCAGCAGTCCTACTCAGAGGTAGTCCCTCATCTGCAGGGAGAGGTTGTAGGCCTGGAGATCAGGGTGAGTTTGGGAAGGGTCATGAGGACATGGTTAGGGAGTGATGTAAATGCATATCAAGAGATTTAATCCTGAGGGGTGGCAAGTATTAGCTATAGAACAGCAAGTATCTACGACTGAAGGCCGTAGAGAGGGACTGGCTGAGAAGGACAGCAGTGTTTAAGGCTGAAATCAGAAGAGAAACCTTAGTGAAGCTTTGCACTACAAATAGCCTCATCTACCAAATCAGAGTTTTGTCTTCAGGACTGCATGAGTGAGGATCCCACAGCAAAGAAAAAGGTTCAGGTTTGGGAGGCAAAGGCAAGTAAGCAGGACTGCAGGGCTGGGGCTTGGCTGTTTACATATTGTTCAGGGCAGTAAAGGTTTCAGAGGTCGTAACTGAGGCAGGAAAGGATCACTTGGCTCCATTAGTCTTGTGTCTAGAACTGTTCCCTGAACAACGCAGAGAGATGAGGCTCATGCAAGGGACCAGAAATTGTTTTTCAGGCTTGAAAATGCCAGAGGGGCAGTGTGTAACTTGGATATGATGATCTGTTCATCTGGCAAGAACCACAGAAGAATATTTTGATTTACTGAAAACCGGGCAGCTCAGAAGTTGCTACTTGACTCATTCGCTGCTCCCGTCTGTTGCACATATAAGCACAACAGAGCAGATGAATTTTGTCTGAGCCTGAGGTCTTCGACTGGCCCTCCATAAATGCTGCTTGCCAAGAAACAGACTTAGGGGAGGAAAGCTGTCAGATATAATAGAGAGAGAAAAGGACACGGGCTTCAAAGTGAACTCCAGCAGAACATGGAAGTGACCTGGCTGGATGTGAAAGCACTTCCTCAGCCTGCTTGGAAGCCTCTAACAGCTACACAGGCAGTGAGGGGAGCGAATAATTGAACTTGAAATGAAATGAAATTAAAATCATTTTCAGTACCATTCTGCAGTACATTTTAAAATACTAGAACTATGAAATATGGTGTGATGGTAACTATCAGGCTTGTAAGTCTGGTAACTAGGATTTTTACCTTGAAGATCTCAGTATGGGTACTTTGAGCCTTTTCAAAGCTGTGTTAAATCATCATTTTTTTTCTAGCTCTAGCTTTCCTTTTCATCCCCTCAATGACAAAGCAACTCCCTCTTGAGAATGTTATTTACCTTCCATATTATGTGCCTATCAATTTCTGGAATTGCAAATGTATTTGGACACCTGCATAAATTTAAGTTTCAAGAAAACTGTAAGGCTGAAACAAAGGATTCCCATCATCCAGAAGAAGCACCAAAAATGTTTTATGGAAGAACTGACAAATCTGTACCCTTGCATAGAATTTGCTATACTGAGACGAATTTCAAATGGAACTGCCATCTAAACAAGCAGAAAAATAGTTGGAATGTAGTGAGTTAAATTTAAGTATTCCTAGAAATAGGAATTATTAGCAGAGCTTGGAGCATGATGTCACTAGCAGCAGTAAGATGCTTTTAGCTGTGTTCTCATAAATTACTTGAAAAATCCCTTGTACCTAGTGTATAGCAATTCATACTTTCTCATTTCCTTTTTTTTCCCCCCCAGTCTTATGTACTCCCTTTATTTTACCCTTTTCTGTTCTTCTAACTTCAGCTTCTTTTATTTTGTTCTATCCTCTGTTCTCAAATCATCGCAGCAACCTCTGTCAATGTGAAAGCATTTGCTCATCCTAGGTCTCAGAGTGGCTGTGAACGTTGCCCTCTTCTGGATCACTTTTTTTTACTGTATTTTGCTAAAAAAACAAAACAAAGCAAAAATCAGTTTGAAAAGGCCCAGGAAGATACTAATGTTACCTTTATTACTTGCACATATGAAAAAAAATCTGGTTTGGATTTGGATAGATCTTTATTTTAATTTTTTTCTTACCGAAATAATCTCCTCTATCTTCCACTACTGTTTCAACTGCTGTCATTCCACATGAAACAGCATATTGGAACAAGGCTTTTTTCATTCCTCCTTATCACTGTGCTTGTCCTGGAATAACTCTTGCTGAAAGCAAGGGAACAGTGTAGCTGTAAATTAATCTAAGCCTGCCCCCTGGCAGTGGGAAGCCATTCCCCCTTCTCTGTCACTCCTTCCCTTATAAATAATCCCTCTCTATCTTTCCCGTGGGCCCCTTCAGGTACTGGAAAGCCACAGTTAGGTCACGCCGAAGCCTTTCCCTTTCCTGGAAAGAGAGGAGTATCTGAGCAAGTTCTCTCCCCTACCCGATTCCCTTCACTCCGTGCTTTCCCCTTCCACTCCGACGTGTTGGTTCAGGATCGCAGGGGGCTGCAGTACGGGGAAACTGGGATGACAGAAACCTGCTTGGCCTTGCAAGCAGCCACGGATGAGAGACTGCTGCACTGGGATACTGGGAAGGAATTCTCGGCTGTGAGGGTGGGGAGGCCCTGGCACAGGCCGCCCAGAGAAGCTGTGGCTGCCCCCGGGTCCCTGGAAGAGTCCAAGGCCAGACTGGACGGGGCAAAATGAAGCAAAATGGCCTAGTGGAAGACGTCCCTGCCATGGCAGGGGGTGGGCAAGCTATGGAGAAATAAAAATGTACGGTTTCTGTGAACTGCCCTGCTAATGCCTAAAGCAGAGTGAAAGTGGTAGTAAACTCCTGAAAACTAGTAATTTTTTTTGCAGTTTGGTCCCACTGAAATAAATGGAAGTTGGAGAGGGGATATTGCCCAGTACTAATACAGAGTAATTGCATTTGAAAACAAACAAGAGTTCTAAATAATCTCTAACTGGAAATCCTTAAGAAGAATATGTGAGTGAAGAGAAAAAGTCACTCCTGTTTTTCCAGAAGAAACTATTTCTTGTTCCCTCCCTTATTTGCTAAAAATAGTCAGGATTGACCCAAACCAGTGCTTCGGAACAAGAATATTTCTGTCATTCTGAATACAAGTGTGTAATAAATCCAGTATTGTTTGCAATGTTGACATATTGTTCCTGGATTTTAAAGATTACTTGCAGAGTGAATGTGTATGTTTATGTTGGGTTTGTGCCATCTGAGATGAAAATTCAGACTTTTTCTTTATAGAGCAATCAAGTAGAAGGCAAAACACCAAACACATCCCTTTTTCCCTGGAACCACCTTTTATAGTTCCGGAATTGTCAGATTCCATGGATTTTGACCTCACTTCTGGAGTTGTCTGCAGGAGTACCTCCACCCTTAATTTTAAATGCTTGGGTGTAGTCTTTTGACCACAAGCTGCTTAAATACATGAGTAAGGTACAAGGAGACTAGCCTCCAAAAGGTCTTAGACTTGTACAGCTTTCAGTGAAATTATGTCACAGCTGGCTATCAGAGGCGAGTTTTTAACACAAAAATACCAGGCCCAAAGCTTACAGCAAAATCTTGTTTGTTTCTCTTTATTTCTTCTTTCAACCCTTTCGTGAGTCCCTGCTGCCTTATCTTTTGCTTGCTTAGAATCTTCTTTCAGGCTTCTTTACATGCAGCTTAATTTTTCACTGCAGGTTTAAAAAAAATTGTAAATCGTGGCAGGACTCTGTCAGGGAGTGTAGTGGTAGGACGAGGGGTGACTCTTTGAAAGAGGGTATATTTATGTTAGGTATTGGGAGGAGATTCTTGGCCATAAGGAAGGGTCATGAGATGCACAGCACAGGTTGCCCAGAGAAGGAGCTGCCTCATCCCTGGAAGTGTCCAAAGCGGCCGGTCCGGGCTGAGGCGGCCGGCCCGGCGGACGTCGCGGGGGTGGCACGGATGCTGCTGCTGGTGAGGATGCCGCACATGGACACGGCCCGGCCCCTCAGGGCCCCGCCCGCGGACGGCCCAGAGCGGGCCCCACACGTGGCGCTGGTGCCCCGGGTGACGCTGTGGCTTTGCAGGGCTGGAGACCTTCGTGTCCGTCGCCAAGACGCTGCCGTCGCCCGAAGTGTACGATGTCGTGGAGGGATACGTGAAAATTTCCATGGAGTGTGCTGAGATATTCAAGCTTCTGGATGGAGAAAGGAAGCCTGAAAGTGAAGTAAGTTGGATATGGGGGCTGTCATTCAGGAACTGGCGGCTGCAATCGCAGCAATCCCACCTGGACAAGAACCAACAAAAGGTCACCAGGGAATAGTCACAGCCACCAAGGCTGCCAGAACTCCAGGCATGTTTGGACAATGCTCTCAGGCACGGGGTGGGATTGTTCAAGTGTTTGTGCAGGGCCAGGAGTTGGACTGGATGATCCTTGTAGGTCCCTTCCAGCTCAGGATATTCTGTGGTTCTATGAATAAATAGTGCTTTGTGATGTAAATAACTGTAAATTTTTGTTTTATTTTGTTTTGTTTTGTTTTGCTTTTTTTCTGGAAGTAGCAGTGGCAGAAGCACCTACCAAGTGGCAGATGCTCCTTTCTGTTCATAGATGTTCCTGGATTTAATGACACACACAACCAATAGTCCTGTCCAAATCAAGCTGTTACGGTTCTTTACGAGTTATCAAAAGGCCTTTAGGAAATAAGGGGATCAACAGAAGCAGTTAAGAAAGCAAAACAAAAGTAGTCTAATGAAAGTAAATGTTTTTAGATATCTGCTTGATACATCAGTATTTCTAGGAAGCCACTGGTACTGAAGTTGACTTAATTTTTCTTATTTTAGTTGGACAGAATTTATCCTCATCAGAATATGAAGAATGAACAGAGTTCAATAACTTTTCACTGTGAATGCTGGTGCAGTGTAGTATTGCTTTCACTGTAGCATTGTTTACAATGCTTACAATGTTACCGCTACAATGTAGTATTGTATTGTGTGGCTTTTTTAACCATCACTTGCTGTTCTTTGCCTTTCAGTATAATTTTTGTCTCTGTAATGTTCAGTGTCAGCCTTTCCTCAATATCCTATTGCTAGGAGGGGCTGATGTTTGTAATGGGCACAATCCCAGTGCTGTATGGATTCTGAATTCTTCTTGCAGGAATTAATTGCAAGATTGGAACAGCCCTGATGTTTTTCTGCAGCACATTTAATTTTTCGTTATTCACTTAGGAGAAATTGTCTCTTGAAACGTTGATTCCTTGAAACTACATGCTTTCAGAAGTGGTCTTTTCAAAGAGGAAGCATTCATTTGGGAGAGAATCTAGAAGTTAATGTCACTTTCATATGTGGAAGCTTTCCTCTTGGAGTGGGGTTACTCTTTTTATTAATGGTGGTTATTACTGTTTGCTCAGCTAATAATTTCAGGTCTTACCTGATATTGTCAGATATTAACATAATTTTTTTATCCTACAGATGCTGTTAATCTTTCAAGCTCTAGAAGCTATTTTACTGAGGACAGCCAGTGACCTCTCACATTTTTCTGTTGTGGGAATGAACATTGTCAAAAAGTTGATTCATTCCTATATGAAACTGGTCTATGCTGCTTTGTATTCTGAAAATCACAGGTAAGTCTTCTTGTGCTCTGGTGGAGAATCTCTGTCAATTGATCAGGAGGGACTGTACTAGATGTTACAAAATTCATCTTGACTTATTGCTAATAATCCACCTTTATTTAATAATCCTTTTCCACTTGCCATAAAATACTTGCCTGTGGAAATCTTTGCAAAGTAGAAACTGATACATCAAACAGTCCAGTGCTATAAGATACTTTCCTGAAGCTGTAGTTTTCATCAGTTGGGGCTGTCCTAGTGAGAGCTAACGTGGGTGGTACCTTGAGTCCTGTTATTTTAATGCTGCTTGATTTGTGGGTGAAATGTATTGTGTGGAACAGGGCTGGGCAGTCTTCCTGTGATGGCAAAAAGAGCTGCTTTTGAGTGCTTTATTTCCCTGTGTTTTTTGGAGTCAAGTTTCCATGTTTATAATGTATTTTTCTCTTTCAGAATGGCTTTTCTTCTGTAATTTTTTCAGTCTCTTAAGTCTGAGGTCATTTTAGGCTGTTCAATAATTGTGTTATCTAGTCTGGACCAAAAAATTTCTCATGCTCATGTGAATAGGGGAAAGAAGTTGCAAATGTCAAACATTTCAGTACAAACCTGGGAGGAAGAGGAAAGCAGAGAAAAAAACAGACTGAAATTGGCTTGCCCAAGGCCAGTGACTCATCTTTCAGTCTTTAAGCAGAAGTGAAAAAGCTTTCTGTGCTTTCCCAGTTCATAGACACAACTGTGCTTCCTGCACTGCACCGTTGATCTTATTGCAGCAGGCATTTTAACGGGACAAAGAATCTCAAATAGGTATACTGGAAACAAATTTTGAAGCTGTGCAAGGTCTGCACTTCTGATTAAGTGTTTAAAGATTGCGGGTTCTGGAGAAATACTTCTAGAACCTGCACAGAGGAGGCTGCAGATTTCTGGTGGGAGATGCTCTGCATTTTCTGTGCAACCTCTTTGATGTGCAGAGGTATTTTCTTTACTGTATGTCTAGATGGGATCTCTGCTTGAATCATGTGACTTTTTACAGATTGTCCATGACAGAAACATGATGGACAGGTTACAAATCTGTTCATGGTAGTGGCTGTTCAGACAATGGAGGAGGTTTGCAGTCTTGTGCGTAGTGGCCCTGATATATTCCCATTGAAATAAATGGCAGACCTTTATGAATTTAGGAGTTCATAGAATCATGGAATAATTAAGGGTTGTCTAGTCCAACTCCACTGCCATGAACAAGTATCTTCAAGTTGTTCATTTCATCACTTTCTCCCTTTTAAACTACTTTATAAAGGGAATATCCAGCCGCACATTACAGCTTAATTTTGGGGAAGAATATAAAAAGGCGTTTCCTTCTCCTTCCTTCCCTCGCTCCTCTTTCCCAGTTGCTGTTATTACTGCCTAAAATAATTACTTTGATTGTTTAACTTCCCTTCTATTTTCTCTTTAAGTTTTAATCTCTTGGTTTGGCGGTTTGTATAACCATCATCCTGGAAATATCCTGCAGGTTTACCTCTGTTTTGTTTTTTCAGGATGAGCCGAGGGTGCCTCACACTGCTGTCAGCGATGGTGGCTCAGGGCCCGGATTCAGCAAGGGACGTATATAGTCATTTTGATTTCAATAACAAGTACCTGCCTGGATTGTTGAAAAGAAGGTGTAAGCAGGTAAATAAAGGTGCTGCATGCTATGGCATGCTATGCCATGGCTCTGCCAGCTTTTTTAGCTATCTATTCAGAAAAAAGCTGTTGCCAGTGTTTGCTGTATTTTCATCTGCAAGAGCTTAACTCTCACTTCCTGTGCTGTGTCAGGCTGAAGTCGTTGATTGTGCCTAACTGGAGTGTACTTTTACGGAATACACAAAGGTACAAGCTATGGAGAAATAAAAATGTACAGTTTCTGTGAACTGCCCTGCTAATGTCTAAAGCAGAGTGAAAGTGATAGTAAACTCCTGAAAACTACTAATTTTTTTTGCAGTTTGGTCCCACTGAAATAAATGGAAGTTGGAGAGGGGATATTGCCCAGTACTAATACAGAGTAACTGCATTTGAAAACATAAACAAGAGTTCTAAATAATCTCTAACTGGAAATCCTTAAGAAGAATATGTGAGTGAAGAGAAAAAGTCACTCCTGTTTTTCCAGAAGAAACTATTTCTTGTTCCCTCCCTTATTTGCTAAAAATAGTCAGGATTGACCCAAACCAGTGCTTTAGAACAAGAATATTTGTGTCATTCCAAATGCAAGTGTATAATAAATCCAGTATTGTTTGCAATGTTGACATATTGTTCCTGGATTTTAAAGATTACTTGCAGAGTGAATGTGTACGTTTATGTTGGGTTTGTGCCATCTGAGGTGAAAATTCAGACTTTATAAAGGTATCGAGTGGAAGGCAAAAAACCAAACACATCCCTTTTTCCCTGGAACCACCTTTTATAGTTCCGGAATTGTCAGATTCCGTGGATTTTGACCTCACTGCAGGAGTTGTCTGCAGTAGTACCTCCACCTTTAATTTTAAATGCTTGGGTGTAGTCTTTTGACCACAAGCTGCTTAAATACATGAGTAAGGTACAAGGAGACTAGCCTCCAAAAGGTCTTAGACTTGTACAGCTTTCAGTGAAATTATGTCACAGCTGGCTATCAGAGGCGAGTTTTTAACACAAAAATACCAGGCCCAAAGCTTACAGCAAAATCTTGTTTGTTTCTCTTTATTTCTTCTTTCAACCCTTTCGTGAGTCCCTGCTGCCTTATCTTTTGCTTGCTTAGAATCTTCTTTCAGGCTTCTTTACATGCAGCTTAATTTTTCACTGCAGGTTTAAAAAAAATTGTAAATCGTGGCAGGGCTCTGTCAGGGGGTGTAGTGGTAGAATGACGAATGACTCTTTGAAAGAGGGTGTATTTATGTTAGATATTGGGAGGAGATTCTTGGCCATAAGAGTCATGATGCTATCCAGCACAGGTTGCCCAGAGAAGCAGCTGCCTCGTCCCTGGAAGTGTCCAAGGCCAGGTTGGACAGGGCTAGGAGCAACAGGGCTTGGGATAGTGGAAGGTGTCTCTGCCCATGGCAGGGCGTGGAATGAGGTGATCCTGAAGATCCCTTCCAACTCAAACCATTTTGTGATTCAATGTTCATATCCCATGGTGCTGTTACAGATAAAGCTTTCACTGCTTCCACTGAGTGCCTGAGTTGGTAGTTTTATATTTGCCCCTTTTTATGGGCATTTTTGTGAACTGACCAAGCAGTGAATAAGTGAGGAAGTTCAGTGATGCAGGGTTTGGCCTGAAATGGCTGTTAGTGTTTCCTTTTTCTTTAAGTTTGTGGCCTGGTCTCATACACTAAGAATTGAAAACCACATGAACTAGTACATTTTTCTTTTTATGTAAAAGTGAGCTGTTTAATGCAAGAAGTTTTTTAGCTGAATACACTGTGGATGTATTGCATGTAAATGTATGTCTTTGGCTGCATGCAACATTTTTATAGAATTTGTTTCATGTAGCCATTTATGGTGCTTCTAGGGATAATCAGCAGTTGCAGTATCAGTTCTGCAGTTGTGTGCTAACAACATTTTTAAATTTTATATTTATATTTTTATGTTTCCAGGGGAGACCAGATGTCCGCATGGCCTATATTCAGTTTGCTCTCTCCTTTCTCATTGCTGGTGACAATGCAATCTTGGCACAGGTGCTGGAATTAAAAGGTACTTCATAATTGCTTGTTGGGTTTTTGTTTCTAAGGCACAGTCATTTATAGGTGATAATAAATATGACCTAATTAAAAATGTGAACCAGGTAGAGAGCACTAATGAGAAAGAAGCAAAATATATATTTTTAATCTTATTTTCTGAAAAGCTTTAAACTTCTTTGGTAGTGTAGTAAATAAGCCTCTTCTGCTTGAGAACAATATGCTGTCTGCTAAAACTTTGCAAAAATAAAGTTTTTGCTGACACAGATAAAAAAACCCCGTAAATCTAATATAAAACTTAGAGGTCATAGAGTCAATAAACAAAAAAAAAAAATTGATGGCCTCCAGCCTTGCTCATGAGACAGTAACAGTAGATGTGTTGTGTTAAGTTTCTTTTGAAAAGAAAATTTTGCCTTTCTGCCCTGTGAATTGTGACCCTTGGAAAAGCTATGAGACAATTTAGAAGGGATCTAGGAATACTGTTTAAAAAAAGTCCTTAAGCCACTAGCTGGCAGCAAGTAATGGCAGGGGACTGAGAACTGGCTGTAATTATTTACTTCTCTTGCTCCTGCTACTCCAGGGCTGCTGATTTCCTTTAGGTGCTGGCAGTTGTTTAGTTCTTTCGGGCTGGGGATTGCACACCTCAGCCCAGTCAGTACAGATGGCTTTCATTTCCCTGTAAGAGCCCTAAGTTCTCTATAAACTAAAGTTGTCTAACTTTGACATGCACAGGTGAGCCAAAAGGTGATGCATGCATTTGGAGATGGAACCTCCAAACATTTTGAGAATCACTCAGTGAAACAATTACAAGTGCTTCAATGGGAGGAATATGAAATTACTTGAATTTTAGTATGGCATTTTGAGGTCCAAAATGTATTTGAAGTTGAAAGATGCTATAGCAGTGTTAATCTGCAAGTTGGCAAATTGGCCAGTCAGGATGAGAGTAGGTTTGGCAGCATCACTTGCTCATAACCATAGTCACAGACACATCATCCTTCTGAACTCTGATTGCCTTTTGGTTCATCCTGGAATATAACAGCAAGATAAGTAATGTGACGTGGAAGAGGAATGGGTATGAAGTTCCCTGAAGTATTTTAGTATGAAAAGAGCTTTCACATTTTGACTTAACATTTGAAATGTCCTCTTAGATTTCATTCCAACTATTCTTCGCTCTGAAATAAAGGAAGACAGAGTTTCTACTGTCAATCTTCTACTTTCCACGCTGAGAACTAAGGTATGATGCACACTTGACATGCGTTGTGTCATGTTTTCTATTTTCCTCACTGCTGAAAACAGTTCTGCAGTGATTTCTCACACAATGTTCAGTTCTTAGGACTGCTGGCAGTGTGCTGCTGCAGTGTGTGTGACTGATAATGGGTGTTGGAGGTTGGTAACTTGGCTATATTACTGCCTCAGGATTGAAAACAGGGAAGCAGGAATTGCTGAAAGGTGTGAGAGTTGGTTTAGTGGTGGCTGCCTTTCCTGTGCTCCGTCACCTTCTGAGCAGGGCCCCGCCTCTTTCGTAGGGTGCTTTTGTTGCTTGTAGAGCAGCTACACCTGAGATATATTTTATTTCTTTAAAAATGTTTTTAGCTCCAGAATCTATGACTTTTTAATATCTGCTCTGAGCTGTAGTAGCAATGTTGTGTAGCTGTTGCTTGAACAGTTGAGAGAATGAAGAAAAAAATAGTTTCAAATT